TGTTCTTGTGAGCCTTAATTTTGTAAACACCCTACTTTATAGAGTTTTAATTTGTTTACTTCTTTTTACCTTTTATAAAGGAGATTGGTTCTAGTTTAGCCAAGTGAAAAATTAGGGAGTATAAAGGTTACTCTTGATCCTTGAAAAGAAAGAACAAATTAGTGGATTTGTTGGAAAATCCTTAGTGATGAGCTAAGGTAGTGGAGGTAGACTTAGTTGAGAAGTCGAACCACTATAAATCATTGTGCAAAAGTTTTTATCTTTTATTTCTCTTTACTCCCTAAACTATTTTTACAAATTTACCCCTCTTGCAACTTTTTCGATTGTTCAATTGAGTCTCTTTGATCCTAAAAGTTGGTATGATTGATTATTATTATTTTGTTGAAAAAGGTTTCTCAAAAGGGAAGGTTGACACTATCTTATTTATAAAAACTAAATGTAAAGATTTATTAGTAGTTCAAGTTTACATTGATGATATTGTTTTTTGATCTACTGATGATAAGCTTTGCCAAGAATTTGCTAAGTTAATGCAATGTGAATTTGAGATGAGCATGATGGGAGAGCTCTCATTCTTCTTGTAACTCCAAATCAAGCAAAGGAAACATGACATCTTCATCAATCAAGCAAAGAACATCAAATATATGCTTAAAAAGTTTGGATTTTGGGATGTGAAACCCCAAGCCACTCTTATGAGCTTATCTCCAAAGCTTGACAAGGATGAGGAAGTTACGTATGTAGATGTTAAACTTTATAGGCCTATGATTGGATCATTACTTTATCTTACCACAAGTAAAACTGACATTACGTAGTGTTTGCATATGTGTTAGATTTCAATCATATCCTAAGGAATCACATTTACAAGTCATTAAGAGAATCTTTAGATACCTTAGAGATACTCCTAGCATAGGACTTTGGTATCCTAGAGACTCTAACTCTAGTTTGTATACCTTTTTAGATGCGGATTATAGAGATTTTAAATTATATAGGTAAAGCACTTCTGGTACTTACCAATTTCTAGGTAGTATGTTGATTTTATGGATTTTATAGAAGCAAAATAGTGTAGCGTTATCAACCATTGAAGCGAAATACATTTCGACCGGTAATTGTTGTGCTCAAGTTTTATGGATGAAACAACTACTAATAGAGTATGAAATTGAAGTAGGTACTATCCCTATCAAGTTTGACAATACTAGTACTATTTGTCTCACCAAAAATCGCATCCAACATTTTAGAACTAAGCATATTGAAATTAGACATCATTTCATTAGATATCATGTCTCAAAGAAAGGTATAGTTGTAGGTAGACACTTTGCATCAAGTAGAGGATATATTTACAAAACCTTTAGATAAAGAAATATTTTGGGAACTTAGGAGAGAATTAGGTTTAACAAACCTACATTGACTTTGTGTTTACATATTTTATGCACTTTTATAATTTTATGAAAAAAACATACTAAATGACTTCTTTGATGCATACTATGCAATTAGTTAGGGGGAGTTTAGGATTTTTCATTGAAATTGATGAAGTGTTTAAAATATGCTTAAATGTGTATTTGTTTGTTTGAACATGTTTTCCTTGTCAATTTAGAGTTACCTATACTATTATTAATGCCTTAAAGTATGCATTATGTTTTTTGACTTTTTGGTGTACTCTAACTGGAAATTCACGAAACTTTAGCATTCATAGGTGTTTTTGTTATTAAATCTTGTATGAATGAATGAATGTTTGTATCTTGGTCAAAATTTTATATCTCATATGGTCATATGTGTTGTATATGCTTAATTTGTACCGATATTGTTCTTATAGCATTGTTAGGAGTACCGATATTGTTTATCGATACCAACTTTTTTAACTAGTGAGTAATGATACTCACTTTAATGAGTACCGATACTTGGGGTCGTATTTGTGTTTTAAAGATCAAAATATTCAAAATATTCAAACCCTAACTCAACCGACGATGAAAACCTTCTCTTTCCCTCTCAAATCGTCGTAGTTTTTCATCACATTTAGGTCAAAATCTTGTCGTTTTTCAAGCTAGAATCCTACAATCTTCATCAACTTCATGTTATCATCCCTCATTCAATCTCAAATCGTGATTCAACGTATAATTTTTCAAAAACCCTATTTTTTATTTTTTTCCCAAAATTAGGCTTATTTCTTGTTAGTTTAAGTTAAATTAATAAGTAGGCATTGTTTGTATATCATTTTCACATCTAAATCTACCATTTTTTCACTATAAATTTTTATTTTTTTATATTTCAAATTAAAAAATGATTTTTTTTGTTCATATACATATATTTATTTTTTAAATTTCTTTAACATTTATTACAATATATATATATATATATATATTGTTTTACATGTATATGCTCATATTTTTTTAAAATTATATATATATATATATATATATATATATATATATATATATATATATATATATATATATTATTATATATATATATTCTTTTAACATTAAGCCCATTTTGTTTGTTTTTAATTTGAATTTCTTTAACATTCATTACAAATTGTTTTCTATATATATATGCCCATTTTGTTTATTTTTAATTTGAACTTAATACCTTGAATACTTCGGACTCATTTTGAGTTTTGGGATTGATGTTAGCATATATATATATATATATATATATTGTCTTCTTTTGTAGGTTTTCTTATCCCGATTTTTATCCCAAAATGTCTAAACGACCTCATACTTCCCGAGCTCATCCTCAAAATCCTCATTTGAATATCATTCCTAACCCGGCCCAAGACCCAAATGAACTAACCATTTTCAACTCTTATTTTAACAAACTGGGTCGTAAGAACCTTTATGAGCGTTATACAACTTTTGAAACCATACCTCTTAGGAGTGAGCACATGCCCTCTCTTTCCGCCATGACCAATTTTAATTTCAAATATTTTTCGCTTCTCAAATCGTGGAAACTTGACAAAACTTTTAAAATCAAACATGTGGTCTATCAACAACTTGTTCGCATTTTCTATTCTAATGATGTGTGTGTCCATGATCTAACCCAAAGTTGCACCGTTAGTATTAGCTCATATCTTATATAGCAATATATTCATATCGATGTTTATTCCATAACCCGAGACTTAGGTCTAGAGTAGATAATGAGAAATACCATCTACATTCCCCTTATGTGATCGAAAATAGTGTCAATACCTTAGATGTAACACCCTAATTCAGTCTAACCCGAAGATTAAGGGATTACTATGTCATACAGGACCACCGAAGTGGATAACCCAAAACTTTTCTTTTAAAACAACTATAAAATATTAGAAATAACCATTTCAAGTGATATAAAATAAAAGTATAATAAAGTTGAGTTTTACAACGTTGGGGAGCTCCCAAATCACCCAAAATAAATACACTGAGTTTAAATCAAAATAGAGTTATAATTGAATACAAAAAGGGTCTACAATAGTGTATGCCATTTAATACAAATCAAGACGTATTCTGAGGATCTTTATTGAGCTAGAATATCTTGTGATGATAATGCTCCACGGACGACATCCTAAGAACCTGCGCATGGAAACACATTTCGAACACTAAGATACGAGCTCAATGCCTTACTAATAACTATACTATACTACATGCATTCACTAAATGTGCATGTAAAGTCATAGGTATGAAGACAACGAAAATGCTGACATGACATGTTGAGGTAAGCATCATGGTGTAGTTGAGGGTTCTACATCTCGGAGCTCACACCCATATAGCCTTCTTATATACCCTTGGGTATCTATGGTGAGATATGGAACTGCATCAGAAACGTAAACCCGACCAACTTACTCCGTCGAGTCTTGGGGCATCTGTGCCTAATTGGCAATTGAAGTTCCTTGGCACTAATTGGGATATCCAACTATATGATCGTTATCTTCTAAATTAATTTGGGTTTCCTAACTGTGTCCCGAGCATAAAAAAAAGCTAGTTTTATATCATCCTTGTTGTTATTATTTCTAACTGTTATGAGTTTATTATTGTTCTCACTTGTAGTTTTATTTCATGACGATATGGTATTATTGGGTCCCTCAATTCTATCCATTAATTCTCTTAGGTTTGATATCCAAAAATTATTCGTGGGTATTGATACTAAGCCCCTTAGTATCGGTACTGACCTTTGGGTATCGATACTAACATCTGGTTATCGATACTACTGACTTATTGAAGGCTGATAACAAAAATACTCTAGCTTGAGTATCGATACTTCTAGTCTGTGGTATCGATACTTTCTTGAGTGCCGATACTGAATTTGGCTTCAATGTCTTTAAAAATACCTAAGTGTCGATACCCTTATTGGGGAATATCGATACTTTACCCTTGGTATCGATACTCCCATGAGTAACGATACAAAAAATGGCTATTGGAATCTGCTAAGTGAACTTGGTATCGATACCACCCTGAGAGTATCAATACCTTACCTATAATATCGATAACCATTGTATGAGTATCGATACTTCTAGCTCAAAATCCCTTTGTTTTAAGCATCTAAAGAACAATATTGATATTGTACTTTTAGTATCGATACTCGCACCAAAAATACTATTTTTAGGCATGAAAAGGCCTCTCTAACACTCTTAAACATCCTATTGAGGTCCCTAAATGTTATTAGAGTGTTATATCTGATAATAGTGGTCATAATAAGTCCGTAAACATGCTGAAAACACCCAAACACTGAAATCTACCATGAACATGCTTTAGGATTCATGCAAGCTAAAAACCTCACCTAAAACATGCTGAAAACACCCAAACACTAAAATCTACCACATGAACATGTGGTGAGTTGAGTTAGAAGTGAGTTACCATGAGTCCTAACTACTAAGAGCTCTTTCAACTCAATCATGGGTAAGTTTTTCCTTTCCCTTGCACTTGGAGCTTTCCCTAACCTCTATAAATAAATAAGAATTAAACATAATGGTTAAGAACTTTGTAGGAGAAGTTTAGAAAATGGTTTAGAACGTTTCATAAGGCTTGAATCTCTAGAAAAATAAGTTGGTTTCACTTAGGTTTCTAAAACCCCCACTAAACTCATAGTTGGTATCCATAAGCAAAACTTGTCATTGAGAACTTGAATTGAAGCTTGGGAAGAGATAGTTATGATTCTTTCCTTTAGAATCTTAAACTAAGCTTGCTAGTTCACCAAGTTATCATCTTTTATTACACCAACTTGAAGGAATGATAAAAAGATAAGATGAAGTATTTGTGATAAAGAAAATGGCAGAAAAGATAGATGGAAAAAAGACGATTTGCCGATTACATCACCCACAAATAAGGTTTTCAACCTTTACTTTTAATTTTGGTATAATTGTTGCTTTTTTCCTTCAACTTTTGGTCACAATTCAAAGATTCCCCATTTTTTGTAATAATTGGGCTCAATCCAAGTCCAGTTCCACTCAAACTTGGGTCAAGGTTTGCTTCAAACTAATGGGTTTGTTATAAGGCTTTATTGAGTTAGTCCGAAACTCATACCCTGAGATTCAGTTTTACGACTCTCCCATCCTAGAAAGAAATTTTGTCTTCAAAATTTACTTGGTTATAAGAGGTGAGGGTACTGAAGTTGAATGTCTTCCTTAGTTTCCCAAGCTGCTCCCTCAACACCATGGTTCCTCCACAAGACCTTCACTAAAGGAATCGTCTTGTTCTTTAGCTCTCTTACTTCTCTTTTAAAGATTCTAATCGGCTCCTCCTCATAGGCAATGTCTAGACTTACCCTGATCTATTTTAGGGGTATGACGTTAGATGAATCATACTAGTATCTCCTATGCACGGATACATGAAACACATTGTGCATGCGCTCCAACTCTGGTGGTAAGGCTAACCGATAAGACATTGTTCTCACTCTCTCTAGTATCTAGTAATTTCCTATGAAGCGCGGAGTCAACTTTCCCTTGCGCCTAAAACCAAGCACTTTCTTCCATGGGAAAACCTGAGGAACACTTTGTCCCCTACTGTGAACTCTATATCCTTGTGTTTCAGGTATGAATATGATCTCTGTCTATCTATAGCTTCTCTTAATCGACTCTAAATTAATCGAACCTTCTCATCGATTTCTCTTATCAAGTCTAGAATCACTATCTTACCCTCACTAAGTTTTCTCTAACATAGAGGAATTCTACATTTACCCCCATACAAGGCCTCATATGGAGCCATCTGAATTCTCGACTTAAAATTATTGTTGTATGCAAACTCCACCAAAGGAAGGTGGTCCTTCTAACTACCCTCAAGATCTATAACGGTGCACCTAAGCATTTCCTTTAAGATTTGGATGTCACGTTATGAATGGTCGTCTATTTAAGGGTGGAAAATAATACTGAAATTTAGTTTAGTGCCAAGGGATTATATGAAGGGTTTTTCAGAATTAGAAAGTGAATCGAGAATCTCTATCGAATATGATGGAAATTGATACCCCATGCAATCTCACTATCTCACGGATGTACAACTGAGCTAACCTCTCTAAGGTATAATCTATCTTAACTAGGAAAAATGGGCTAATTTGGTCAATCAAACTACTATGAGCCAAATTGCATCGTGTCTCTGTCTTGTCATGGGTAATCCGGTCAAAAAGTCAATGATCACTCTGTCCCATTTTCACTAAGGAATTTGAATGGGCTAAAGTAATCTTAAAGGAACCTGGTGTTCCTCTTTAACCTACTGACACACTAAGCAGTTAGCGATAAATTCAGACATTTCCCTTTTCATGCCCGACCACCAGTACAATTTTTGAAACTCTTGATAGATTTTGTTACTGCCTGGATGAACTGAGAGTGGACTGCAATGTGCCTCGCGAAGAATTCTACCACGTAATTGAGCGTCTATGGGTACGCACAACCGACCCCTGAAGTACAATACATCTCCATCACACAACGTAAAACCCAGTGCATCGCTTAGGCAAACCTATTCTACTCGAGCCTTTAACCGATCATCTGAACTTTTTAGCCTCTTGGTTTCACCTATTAACTCTAGTTCAACTTGCAACTCAGTTAACATCCCACATTTACTAGTCAAGCTCAACCACGCTAGGAAAGCTCATAACTTTTATATCAACTTCATGCTCAAGGCGTCTGCCACAACATTAGCATTTTCAGGATGATAGTCTATCACATAGTCATATTTCTTGAGTAACTCAATCCACATACTTTGCCTCAATTTCAACTCTTTCTAAGTGAGCAAATACTTGATACTTTTATGATCGGTGAAGATGTGACATTTCTCACGTAGTGCCCTCAAATCTTCAAGGCAAACACCACTGATGTTAGCTCAAGGTCATGGGTAGGGTAATTATGCTCATGTGGTTTAAGCTGACTGGATGCATAAGCTACAACTTTGTCTTCTTGCATCAAGATACATCTAAAACCATTCAACGACATGTTATTGAAAAATGTGAAGTCCTTACCCGACTCCGGTTGGGTCAACATTGGGGCCTTAGTTTATATGGTCATTAATTATTCAAAGCTTTTCTATTGGTTTTTATCCCACATGAAGAGAACTCCCTTCTGAAACAACTTGGTCAGCGCGACAACTATCATCGAGAAGCCCTAAATGAATAAACGATAGTACCCAATTAAACCTAGGAAACTACGCACCTCTAATACATTCTTAGGTGGCTCTCACTTAACTATGGCTTAAATCTTTTGTGGGGGTCGACTCGGATGTCAGCTTTTGATACGACATGACCCAGAAATGAGACCTCTGGTAACCAAAACTCGCACTTCCCAAACCTGGAATACAACTGACGACCTCGAAGTGTCTGAAGAACGATGCGAAGATGTTGATCATGATTCTCCTTTGATCAGGAGTACACTAGGATATCATCTATATATAAAACCACGAATTGATCTAGGTATAGGTGAAAGACTTGATTCATCAAGTCCATGAATGTCGTTGGGGCATTGGCGAGTCAAAACGACATTACTAGGAACTCATAATGACCGTATCTCATCTTGAAAGTTATTTTTGTTGCATCGGCATCCTTCATCTTCAACTAATAATAACCTGACTGTAAGTTGATCTTGGAGAACACACATTATTCCCTAAGTTGGTCAAATAGGTCATCTATCCTTGGAAGTGGGTAACAATTCTTGATGGTTAACTTGTTCAACTGTGTGTAGTCGATGCATAGCCTCATCAACCAATCCTTCTTCTTAACAAATAAGACCAACGTTCCCAATAGAGAGATGCTTGGTCGGATGAAATCCTTCTCTAACATCTCCTAAATATGATCATTTAACTCATTCAACTCTTTCGGTGTTATGCAGTAGGGAACAATAGACATTGAAGATGAACCCGACATTAAATCAATGCCAAACTCTAATTCACGATCTAGTGATAAACCTAATAATTATTCTAGGAACACGTATGGGAAATCTCATACTGCTTGGATATCCTCAAGTGTCAGAACTAAGAATAGGCCGTCGACAACATAAGCCAATAAGACCTCACATCCACGATCGATCAATCGTTGAGCTTTTATAGGTGACACAATCCTTGATCAGCTTGACCTATCACCGGTCATCACTAACTTGGTACCATCGTTTATTCTGAGCTTAGGTTGTCTAGCTTTGTATTTCAAACTGGCGTCATGCTCAGATAACCAATCCATTCCCAAGATCATATCAAACTCTCTAAAGGGTAACTTCATCAAGTCTGCTATGAAGGTTTGACCTTGAATTTCTATTGGGCATAAATGAATCTTGTCTACAAGGACATCTAGACCTAGATGTCTTGATCCTCAAACTCTTACCTCTAAGTCTTTAGTTGGGATTTATATCTCTCAAATTAAGTCAGAGCAGATGTAAGATTGGGTAGAACCGAGATCTATCTATACAGTAACTATGATGAAAAATATTGTGAATGTACTTGATATCACGTCTACTGCATCACACTCCTCCTAGGCTCTTACCGCATACTTTTTGGAGTCTACCCTCAGCTCTGTATCGACCATTGATCTGGTGTCCCTCTACTCTACTGCCCAGATGTAGTGTTACCATCTCTCACTGGCCTTCGGCCTCTCTACATAGACAACACTGACCTCTGAGTCACTATCGGAGTTACTCATTGAGTCCTTGGATAATCCCTAATAAAGTGGTCTAATGAGTCGCAACTGAAGCAACCCATCGATCTCTGCTGACATGTACCTAGATTCTTCATCCCCCATTGAGCGCTAATTCGATGAGTAAAGACTCTCATTGAATCACTAGCTCTTGCTCCAAAAACCAATGTCAAGGGTATCCTTCAAGACTCAGACTTACCTCCACTATCTGAGCTCTGACTAGCTCTCATCGAATACACTATTAGGGGTCTCCATGAACCCTGTCTATCTCTAACCCTCTTGGCCAAAGTCTGTGATAGTCTCACCGGTTCAGCGACTGTCCTAGTATGTCCTCTAGTCTCATTGTATTGTCTGGACCTCCTACTCAATACTCTCTCGACCACCTCCGTCTGGCAGGACAAATTAGTAAAGACCCTCAGAGGGCCGACTACAAGGTGCAACAGGATGTCGAGGTGTAAGCCCTCCCTGAACCTACAGTAGTGGTGCTCCTCTATAGAGACCAACTCTTGCGCGTACATGTTCAGTCTAATAAACTCTCACATGTAATCTATCACCGAGGATCCCCCTAAGATAATTGCAAGAACTGCTCCCTTAAATCATCAGTGTGAACCTCTTCGATATATTTTTTATCTGAACTCGGCTAGAAAATGCTCCAAGATGGTCTCTCTGGCTCCATAGCCAACTCTATCGTCTCCCACCAGTTGATGTCGTCACCTTTGAACAAGGCATTGACTCACTTAAGATTAACCTTAGGGTAAGGTACAACTGTCAGAGAGTGTGGAGGGTCTCCTTAAGCCACTGGTTTGTCGCTATGAGATTGTCATCCCATGAACCAAAGAACTCAATGGTCTTATATCTGCGGATCCTCTCTACTGGAGATTCTTGGGGAGCTATTATAAGTTCGGTTGGAGGTGTTAGCGGGGGAGGTTGTACATCTGAGGTGCTAAGTATGGCCCTAATAATATGTCTAAGAGCTTAGGTGAGGTCCCCTAAAGAAGGTCGTTTCTTCGACTCTCATGTCTACAAGTACCTCATGCTGGTCTGTATACGGTATGAACTCGTCATCGGTGTGGACTGGTAGGGATGCATGACTCTTGACTTTTTGGTTGGATCATCTACCATAGGTTTTCTATGAAATTAGAAAGAATTTGAGGTTATTATCATCATTCTAGTCTTTATAGTACTCTTGACTCTCTAGAGGCATATATATGTATAGACACTACTTGAATCTAACCTGTGGGTCGTAGGAACGACTAAACCTGATACTCTAATACCATTAAATGTAACACCCTAATCTAGTCCAATTTTAACATCGATGGATTACGATGTTACATGGGACCATCAAAGTGGCTAACCCAAAATTTTCTTTATAAACAACTGTAAAAAAATCATTAATAACGATTCCAGTGATATAAAATAAAAGTATAATAAATCTGAGTTTTACAATGTTGAGGAGTTCCCAAATCACCCAAAATAAATACACTAAACTTAAATCAAAATAAAGTTACGACTGAATGCAAAAATGATCTACAATAGTACATGCCCTCTAATACAAGTCACGACGTACTCTGAGGATCACTGTTGAGATAGAATATCTGGTGAAGATAATGCTTCACGGACGACCTCCTAAAAACCTACACAGAGAAACATTTTCTGAACGTTTAGCTTTCAAGCTCAATGCCACAATAATAATGGTATTATACTATATATATATTGATTAAATGTGCATGTTAGAGGCATAGGTATGAAGAAAAGAAAAATATTGATATGGCATGTTGAGGTAGACATCATGGTGTGGCTGAGGGTTCTGCATCTCGGAGCTCAAAAACCCCTCTAGCCTTCCTATATACCCATGGATATCTGGGTGAGATTTTGAACTGTATCGGAAATGTACACCTGACCAACTTACTCTGTCGAGTCTTAAGGCATCTGCACCCAGCTAGCAGTTAATGTGCCTTGGCATTTATTGGATATCCAATTGTATGATCATTATCTACTGGAGTAACTCTGGGTATCGATATTAATCTCTAGATATCAATAATACTGGCTTATTGAATGTTGATAAAAAAGGGTTGGTATCGATACTCTAGCTTTAGTATCGATACTTCTGGTCTGTGGTGTCGATACTTTCTTGTGTATTGCTATCAGATTTGGCTTCGATGTTTTCAAAAATACCTAAGTATTGATACCCATATTAGGGAGTATCAATACTTTACCCTTGGTATCGATACTCCCATGAGTATTGATACAAAAAATGGCTACTGGAATTTGTTAAGTGAACTTGGTATTTATACCACCCTGAGATTATCTATACCTTGCCTACAGTATTGATACTCATTGTACGTGTATCGCTACTTCTAGCCCAAAATCCCTTTGTTTTTAGCATCTAAAGAACATTATCAGTATTGGTCTTCTAGTCCTTATTTTGGGTGCGAAAAAACCTCTTCAACACTCTTAAAACCCTAATGAGGTCTCTAAAAGTTATTAAATTGTTATGTCTGATAATAGAGGTCATAATAAGTTCGTAAATATGCTAAAAACACCCAAACATTGAAATCTACCATGGACATGCTTCCTGACTCATGCAAGCTAACAAACTCACATAGTGACCTACATGTGGTATAGTTGAGTTAGAGGTGAGTTACCTTGAGTCCTAACCTACTGAGAGCTTCTTTAACTCAACCAAGGGTGATCTTTTCCTTTCCATTGCACTTGGAGCTCTCTCCAACCTCTCTGTCTAAACAAGAATTAAACATAATGATTACTAACATTGTTAGGGAAGTTTAGAAAGGAGTTTAAAACATTTCTTGAGGCTTGAATATCTAAAAAAACAAGCTGGTTTCACTTAGGTTTCTAAAACCCCCACTAAACCTATAGTTGGTATCCATAACCAAAACTTTTCATTGAGAGCTTGAATTGAAGCTTGGGATGAGAGAGTTATGATTTTTACCTTTAGAATATTAAACTAAGCTTGCTAGTTCACCAAGTTATCACCTTTTACTGCACCAGCTTGAAGGAATGATGAAGAGAGAAGATAAAGTCTTTGGGAGAAGGAAAATGACAAAAGAAATAGAGGGGGAAAAGAGGGTCTACCGATTACATCACCCACAATTAAGGTTTTCAGCCTTTGCTTTGAAATTTGTTATAATTATTCCTATAGTCCTTCAATTTTTTGTCCCAATTCAAAGATCCCCCTTTTTGGTAACAATTGGGTTCAACCCAAGCCCAATTCCACTTAAACTTGGGTCAATGTTTACTTCAAGCTAATGGTTTATTCTAAGGCTCTATCAGGTTAGCCCGAAACTCCTAACCCGAGATTCGAGGCATTACATTAAACACTCATGAGTGATTCTTGCATCTCATTATCTATTGGTGGTTTTGACCATCCAGAGGTAAGTTCTCTTTCCTTCGTACCGTAAACCTTTGGTGAATCCATTGTTTCCAAAATAACAAACAAATCAATTTTCCTCAAATTGTCTTTGGTGAGCTTGTTGACACCACAAATAACTTTCAGTCTAAGAAAATTAAGACCTTAGTTTACGGTTGTATACTTCGCCACCTATTCGTCAAAGTTGGTATTAGTTTTGATCAAGATCAAGACATTCCCTTATTATTCTACATATATCTTAAATCTCTTTGCAAATCAGGATGTGAGAAGCTTGGGACAACTTGGACAAGAAAAGGGGAACAAACAGCTGATTATTCCTTTAGTTCACCTCAACCTTAGAACGATGATGTGATATGCAATGTTGATGATCTGGTGAATTGTGTTCCTGATGATTCCCCTCGAGTCGGTAGTGAGGATGCGAGTATTATTCCTCCTTACTTCTAGACTATCATGAAGACGATGGAATTACAATTTGCTACCATGGAGTCTTTTTTCTTTACTTTGAGGACTCAAGTTTCTGAGATTGATGCTAGAGAGATGTCATTGCAGGTGATATATGTAGACTCCTGACGTGATATTCTTTCTATATTTGACACGGTGATAGATAGGATTGACGCTCTTTCTTGCGACTTTTCTTTCTTCCGCTCTCCGTCTTCAGATCATGATCCTCCTCCGTCAGACACCTAATTGCTTTTCATGATTAACTGCTTGTTATTTTGCTCATGTTTGGTCTTACTTTTAGACATTGTTGGATATTTTTGGGATTTGGATATTGGTTGTCTTTGAATTTGGATATTTTGTGCTCTTATATGTTTTTTATTTGATATTTATGTTATTTTGATGCTTGTTATGGTTTATGTTATTTGATATTTGAGACATGAGTTTTTTTACCATGTTTATTACTTAAGGATATTATTTATGTTGACTAACCTCTTTTGGCATATTTGATCTTCACAACTTGTATCTATATCTTGTTTAAGTTTTTTTTATTTAACAAAAAAGAGGAGAAGTGTTAAAGTAAGGGGGAGTTTTTATTTTCAAGAAAATCTTAAATTTTTTCAAAAGTTTTGTTATATAAAAAATGGGTAGATTGTTGAACCATGATTTGATACTTTGATATATAAAAAATAATATATTTAAAGAAATTTTAAGATTATTTTTTATTTTGTTTTCAAGTTTATATTTGATTCGATCGTTCAAATATGGAAATTCCTTTTAAGGTTAAAATCTCCATTTTTACTCCTTACTCTTTTGAAAATTAAAGAAAATTCAAGTCATATATTGGAATTAATTTTCAAACATTTTTACAAAGGGTTTCATATTTTAATTGAGTTAAAAATCAATTTTTAACCTTGTAGTACTGATATTGCAAGAATATTACCGATACTATCAATGTCTCATTGATACTAGTATTGATACTAATAGTCTAAATATACACATCATTATCGATACTTCGAATAGTATTATCGATACTCCCTTTATATTTTTTACAATCGCAGATTCCAGTAGACTATTTTGGTACCAAATATCGTTTGAGTATTGGTACCAATATCGATACTCTAAGTGGATACCAATACTCTCCTCTCACCAGCGGCTAGAATTTTATGTTTAATTCAGGCAATATCGATACTCCAAACCTGAGTATTGGTACTCAAGACATCTAGGCAACATGTATTGTGGAAAATTTCATTCCAATGGCTCTATTAACTGTCACAATAAGCCAAACGGCTAGAATCGAATGAAGTGGTATAAAAACAAGATTCCAAGTCATATGTGAAGACAATAGATCATAGATAAAGTCAAAGCAATCCCATTGAGCCAAAATCAAAGTTAACATCCTTCAGTATTCTTTTTGCTTTCATAAAGCACTTTTGTACTCATTTGTTTCTATTTCTTAAGTGTTCTTATTTGTTCTTGAATTGTGCAAACATACTCTTTGTGAAGTTTTCTAAGTGTGCAATTTGTAATTTTCTCTTTGAGAGAGTGTCTCAAGAGTTCGGGGTATAATTCTTGAGGGATTTGTAACGTTACACATTGTCCTTAAAGGTTGATACAAATTAGTGAATTTGTGAAAATCCTTACTGTGGATAACTTAAGTAGTGGAAGTTTACTTTTGTTTAGAAAGTCGAACCACTCTAAAATCTTGTGTTCAAGTTTTTCATTTTTTTCTTTAAACTTCCACCAAAATTGTATTTGTCAATTCACCCCTCTTTATTATTTCATCCTTTTGATTGCCTTAACATATCTCTTTAACCATTAAAGTTGCTTGATTCATGCACATGAAGATAATTTTGATCCTTAACATCATTTTGATTCTCATATCTTTTGTAATTTGTAATTAGCTTATTACTAAATTTTTAGCTTAAATATAGATTAAAACATCAACTTTTTAGTGTCATTGACATTGAAGCTCACCTCATAGTTGATATATATTTCATTTTTTTTTTACATTTTATTTAATATTTTATTTAAAAATATTTTTTTAAATAAAAATAACTAATTTTATTAAGAAAGAAAAAATATTCAAAATTATAATGAATGTTTATAATTAAATTTGTAAACTAAATACATAATTAGGATGTTCTCCTATAATCATTAAGCCAAGAAACC